AAAACTCTGTTGCAACAAATAAAGGCTAGTTCTCGTCTTGAAGAGCGATTTGATTTGCATAGAAAACTACAAAAGTTACCTCGAAACTCTGCCCCTACAAGATTGCACAATCGTTGTCTTTTAACTGGAAGGCCTAAAGGCTATTTTAGGGAGTTTGGACTTTCAAGACACATGTTACGAGAAATGGCACACACTTGTGTTTTACCGGGAATTACAAAAGCAAGTTGGTAAATCTTTTGGTAGACTTTTTCTGAGGAGTTTTCATTTACTCTTATTCTTACTTAGCTTCAGAATTAGCTCCTTACAAAGCGAAGGTTTGTCAGTCGTCGTCGTAGGCAGCAAAGCTGCCGGACAAAGCTCTTAAGTCGTACTCAGCTTCTGAGGCAAGTACAAAGCTTCTTACGAAGCTCTTAAGTCGTACTCAGCTTCTAAGTCAGCTTCTGAGGCGTACTCAGCTTCTAACCCGTACTCAGCTCCTAACTCAGCGGAGCTGAGTACGAGTTAGGAGATGAGTACGAGTTAGGAGCTGCTAGAGCGAAGCGTGCCGAGCTCTGCTCTGGTGCAAAGCTCCATGTTAGTCAGCTCCTAAGGCGTACTCAGCTTCTAACTCGTACTCAGCTCCGCTGAGTTAGGAGCTGAGTACGAGTTAGAAGCTGTTTACGACAGACAAAGCTCTGCTACGGTGCAAATCAAAGATTTGCACGTGCCTCCGGTTTGTAAGAAGCCACCTTAGGCAAATCCAAGATTTGCAAACCCTGCTTACAAAGCAGAGCTCGGCACGCTTCGCTCTGGCAAAGATTTGCACGTGCCTCCGGTTTGTAAGAGTACGACTTAGTAGCTTTGTAAGAAGATTTGTACGCAAAGCTACTACAAGTAGCGTAGCGTGCCCTACGACTCCGGAGCCACCTTAGGCAAATCTTGGTGTTAGTCAGCTCCGCTGACTCAGAAGCCACCTGCCCCTGCGGGCAAAGATTTGCAAACCCTTCTTACAAAGCAGAGCT